GGGTGGTCAGTGACACGGCTGTGAAGAAATTCACAAAGAGAGAAAGTGTAGAGAGTGAAAATTTTTGTTTTATTTTCCCAAAGGAGGGTAAGGGCTAGGTGCAGAGATATGCACTGGCCAGGAGGGGTTAGGGCTTTGGGCTTTTATTGGGTAATGAGGAGGCTGATGAGCAGGATGTTTCAGTTGGGCTGCAAGTTGTTTCAGTGTTATCTTTGGGTGCAGGGTCCAGCGCTGGGGTCTGGTACGTCCTGTTTTGTGAGTTCCTGGAACCTCTGTGCCTTCGGGGGGCTTCCAGTAATTTTCTAGCCCTGAGGATAAGGGCTCATAAAACAATTTGGGTCAGTCATGCTTTATGGGGTACAGCTAGCTCTGGGAAAGAGGGCCTGAGAAAGGGGCTTTTGTTCTCTTACTCACCAGGCCTCTAGTAATGGCATTCTCCCCATGTTCCTCCAAACATAATTTCAGAGACCTTGTTGGCTAACAACTGTCAGCCCCAGACACCACAGGACACTCTGGAAGAGGACCAGTTTTCCTTAGTTCTGCTTGGAGGTAACAAAACAATTCAGAGTCTCTCTAGACAGTCAGTGTGACTAAAAATAACTGAACTGCCATTTTCTTCACATTTCACTTTAAAGACAACACAGTTGTATTCTAGAGTTTCCAATGAAAGGAAAAAGGCATTCTTAATTCTGCTGTGTACCTCAGCGGCCACGTTGAGTCATGAACATCTTCCAAGTTGTCAGAACTTCTTCCTGTGATAGGACTTAATAAAATTCTGGTTGAGGAGTGTTAGGGAAAGAGATAGGAATAAAAGACCTCTCTCTCTCTCTCTCTCTCTCTCTCTCTCTCTCAGAATCTGGAATTCACTCTTAAGCCATGTGGGAGTCAGGGCTGATAATTCCTTCGGAAATGAATAAGAAGATAATTAGGGAACAATTAATAGCTTTTATGATGACTCAGAACCTATCCATTCATCCTCTCATTTAATCTGGCAAAGTAGTTTATTTCTGTTCCCATTTCACAGATGGTAAGGCTGAGTCCAGGGAGGTTAATTGGTTGGTCTAGGCTGTGCCTGAGCTGAGATTCCATGGCTGCACTTGATGAAGGGGACTCCCCAAACCACAGTCTGTGAAACTCTCCTACATGCAGGAGCTTCTGCTTCCTTCCAGGTTCATTCTCATGGATTTGTAACCTGCTTCTTGTCCTGGGGAAATTTTATACAGTGTGGATGCTAGGCCCCACCCTCAGGGATTTTAATTTAATCCGTGTAGATGCAGGTAGCAGTTATGGATTCTAATGTGCAGTCAGGGTTGAAATTCATTGGGTTAAGTCTTTGCTGACTTGGAGAAGCCCCCAGAGAGATGTAAATACAAATATTCTGTCAGCAGCTCTCTGCTAAGCTGAGAGTGGGAAGTAGATTTTATACCCTGCACTGAGCTGTAGCACAGAGTGAATTTATTTGTGTGTCTCTTCCCAGAACCCTACTGGGAGGCCTTTAAGAATAACAATGGCTCCTATGGCTTGAGAGTGAGGCTTAATGGATAGAAGAATATTTTCTTCTTGCTCAAACATTCACTTTATGCTTTTGCAAGTTAGGAAAAGGAGCACAGAACAGTGGAACAGAAACTAAGGAATTCACCAGGAAACCATGTTAAGACAGCAAGGAAAGAGTTAGAAAAAGGATCCCATGGTTCTGGGATGGGCACCATACCACATGGGAAAAAAGGCAAGTTAGGTGGGGACCCCAAAAATAAAGAAAAGGAAACTGCTGGGAAAGAGGCTATCTGTCTTAGTTTCATTGTTTCTTCATCTCCTGGGACAGCACCTGGTACACAGTGGGAATGCATAAATATTTGGCAAATAAAAGGTGAAAGTACTTAAAATAACTTTATTTTTTCAAGAGTTTGTCATGATTGGCTTTTAGGACTTTCCTTCTTGATCCTTCTGGATATCTGGATAAGGATGATCCAGAAATGAAATATGTAGCTCTATGGCTGGAAGGTGCTGGGAAGAGTGGAAACACATTACCACTGCAGGGCTATCTCTAGGAGGCAGGATCAGGATGGTGCATTTAAGTCGCAGAGAGGTAGGGATCAATACACAGACACTTAGCTTTGCTGTGAGCAGGTCCTCTGGTTAGGACAAGCTTGCCCCAGAGGCTGCAAACCAGAGCTCCACACAAAGAAGCTGACTGGTAGATATTTTGTTCGGGCCACCATTTTATTAATATTATTTTAAATTTATTACCAACATTTAAAAATTGGGAGATTTCTTTAGACATGTAGATTTCTGACTTCTCTGGAGACTTTACTGAGCCAGAATTTCCACCGGCAAGAATGGGCTTGCCCTCTGTTCATGGGTTTTCACCAATGTTTATTACTAACCTAGCTCCTGTAGGCATTTGAGTTTGACATTCCATGTGCTATTTTTGCTGCTATATGTGGTTACCTCATTTTTTTCCAGGTACATATTTTGGCCACTTTTCCTCACTGGACATTTGTCACCTTAACTAGTCTGTTTCTTAGAATCTCCAGGTGAACTCTTCACACCCAACCCAGGCTGCCCTTGACACCTCTCATCAGCCCGATGTGGCAGGCACTGCTGGGTTATATTGCCCAACAAACATTCCCTCATCTCTTTTTTTCTTTCTGCTAAAAAAATAATGTTTAGGAAATGAATCATAATTGATCCAAGTTATTTGTGGAAATTTCATTTTATTTTGTCTGGGATTGGTTTAGGGATGGGCATGTGACTTGGTTATGGTCAGTGACATCTAAGAAGAAGTCTACTAGGAAAAAATCTTTTGAAAAAAAAGGCTCCCCACTTCCCTTGGTTTGAAAACTCTCATGGAGATCTGATGCTTGGAGTTGTGGCAGCCATCTTGTGACCATGAGGCAAGGCATCATTATGCTGAGAGTAACAGAAGACAGGAAGATCAAGGGACCCTCATGATATCACTGATTAGCTGAAACAAACCTAGTTTCATTATTATGGATTTTTAATTTTGCAAGCCACAAGTGCACTTATGGTTTAAGCCATTGTACGACTTATAAAAAAAGCCAAAATATTTCTAACTAACACATTTCTTTTACTAGGTAGCTTGTAACCTTCATAAAGGCAGAACTGCATCTGCTTGTTTACTAATGTATAGGCAAAGCTTACCACAATGTTAGCACATAGTCAGTACTCTATAAATATTGGTTAAATGGATGAATATCTCCATTCCAGTCATTTCAAACTAAGTACATATGAAGAAGGCAACAACACCTAATTTATGTGCTCTGTAGAACTATACAACATATTTAAATAAAATCCAGGTATTAATTTCAGAGTAGTAATATGAGGTAATATATTTGACCTAAATTTATAGGTCAGAGTTCTGTGGCTTAGAGGGAATATATTACTTGCCAGTATGCCTAGCTATAGCTACAGCTGAGGAGTATTGGAGTCTGTATTTGAATCCAGGTGGTTTGATTTTGAAATCTGTATGCTATGGACTCTGGTTCATACACTCACTTCTATTGCCTGCCAACCTCAGGGGAAGGAGCAAATAAAATAGCTCCTACAGGTTTTGCCTTGCGAAATACAACAGATGACAGAACTATCCAGAAGAATTTAGTCCCCTTGAGTGCTGATTCACCAGATACTATTTTTGTACCACTTATGAGTAGAGCCACATAAATTGGCATCACAGAACCCGACAGTTAGAAGGGAACTTTGGCATACCTCCCTTTCAGCTGACAGCCTTTGAGCCCATGCTGTGGCAGCTAGAACATGGACTTTGGAGTCTGATGGGCTTGATTTCTAATTCCAGCTCTGCCACCCACAAGCTGTGTGACCTTGGACATTCAAAGCCAGCCTTCTGAGCTTTGGTTTTATCATCTGCAAAAGGAGGGGGTGGATATAATGAAATAAAATATGGAAAGTGCTTTGCCCAATATCCAGCACATAGTAGGCCCTCAACAAACATTAGTTTCTTTCTCATGTCTGAGGCCAACTATAAGTGAATTTTTACATTTATAAAAGTTATTTTATTTTACATATAAGGGAGATGTAAAAGGGACGTGGAAGATTCTATTGAAGATTTCATAACCCTTATTTATAGGTCCTGTGCCAGAGAAGTAAAACTTAGTTCATCTCATTGTAAAAGAGAAAGAATTAAAGCTACCTTCTACATTGGGCACAGTAAAGTGGAGATCTCTGTGTACCACTTAATTAAAGGCTGGAGAATATCTTCCTATCTGCAGATGAACAACATTTAAATAGAGACTAGTGTTCAGCTATTTCATTCTGTGGTTAGGTAATATGCCCCAAATAGCATGCCTAAGTAATTACTGTACACTTTTCTTAAATACCCTGTTTACTGATTGTCTTATAACAGGATGATACATGTATATAATTTTATATTTATGAATAAGTGCTCTTTTCTGACTTGAACATCTAAATCAGGCAACGCAAAATCAGATAATTGTAGAGAAACATTTGTCATTTGGCATATGAGATCGTCAGGTAAGTAGCATAATTATGTGTATCTGTTTGGAATCAATTGAAGGTGGGTGGCCTGATGTTTATCAGTTATCTGTCCATCATCTTCTCATTTTCAAAATGAAATTCAAGTTTACCTAGAGGAATGGCTTTGAGCTTTGACAGCTCTTATCAAATGTCCATGCCCTTGCTTTTATAAATTGGTGTTCTTGGAGCCTGTGGGAGCTGTGGGAGCATGTTTAACTGAAATAGCTTTTTAAAACAAAACAATCAAATAAAATAAACAAACAAAAGCCAAAAGACTATTCAGCAAGATTTTGCATCTCCCTTTGACTGGTAACAGATCTAGCCAATGAGATTCACCTGTGACTCGGGTTTGGTGAATCATTAAACTCTATTTTTCAGGGCTCAGTAACTGGTTGAATGGTGGTCATGTGACCTTAGCAGAGCCAGTTAGCATTCTTCCCTGGAAATTGATTGTATATGCTGGAGGAAACACTCTTGTTTTTGGCTGTAAATATAAAGGAAGATATAAGCTGTAAGTGCTGGCAATTTTCTTTTTTCCCACTACATAGAGAAGACTTCTGTGGTTGAAGATAGTGAAATGAAGCTATAGAAAGAAAAAGGTAAGAAATTGATGGGGGAAAAAGGAGAAACAGAGAGATTGATTTTCAATTCTTTACCAAGAACCCTTTCCAAACTATGTGAAACAATAAATGCTATTCCCCTTAGTCACCCACTGTTTTGAGGTCTGGAGAAGAGGAGAATCCAGGAAACAAGAATGAAGAAGCAGATTTTCCAGGTAGGAAAATTAGTTCTTACTTTGGGTTCCAGGTGAGTGAAACATCCAACATTCTGCAGAGCCCATCAGTGAAGAAACCTTTTGTAGAAACTAACTGATCACATTAGCACTGCACGATACAAATATAAAGTAAACCACAAGTATAATTTTAATAAAATTTTTCTTAGTCATGGTTTGAATTTAGTGTTTGTACCATTTCTTGCAACAAAAAGAAGTTGACTTCTCTGACGAATTTCTGTGTCCATCTTGAGTGCGACTGGACACTAGCCTCTGGGCATGATCTTCTCTGAGCCCAGTGATTCAGAAGATCTTGTACAACCTGTGACGAGGCAGAATTAGTGGTTTCTTACTCACTTTCTGAGTGTCTCTTGCTACTCTCTGGCATGGAGATGGAGGAGAGAATGTGACAGCTGTTGAGATTTTGGTAAGGCCATGTTTTTTCTTACAGGATTTACTGGGCCTCACACATATTCCTGTCCTTTGACCCAGTGACTCTAATTCTTGGTCTGTATTCTGAAAACAGTACAAAGTGGAACAAAGATTTATCTGTAAAGGTGCAGAGCTAGGGTCAGCTAGAAACAACCCAGGGATCCACAATCTGGACAAAATTAAATTAATTATGATTCTTCCACATATGACAGTTAACTTGTCCCATACAGAAGTTGAAATGATATTCTAAATATTTATGCTACATTACTGAATAAAAAAGTAGGGCAGGGAAATAGTGAAAAATAATTTGTGAATTATGTAACAAGCCCTAAGTGCAAAGACTGGAAGGAAATATGCTATTATTTGACTGTGTCTGGATGATGGGTTTGAGGGCATATTTTTTCTTGCTTCCTTATATTTTTCTTTGCCTTTCAAATTTTCTATAATGATGATGTATTGCTGTTATGATCCAAAAAACAAAATAAAACAAAGTATAATAAAGCAAAATGAGTCTTTCCTTGACGACACTCTACCTTCTTCTCTCTGGTTGAGCAAAGATGTGTGACTGATTGCACTTTTAGCTGGGGAGGGAGTCTGGGAAGTCAAAATCCTCTGTGATCATTCAGTAAGCTCCCTGACATTTATATTCCTAGGCCTTTTACCTGTAAGTAGAGATATGAATTCCATGCAATTACCATTCAAAAATGTAAGGAGAATGAAAAAGACCACAGATGGAATATTGAGTAGTGGGGTCTACATAACGATTTTGGGAGTTGCTTTGCTAGAAGTCAGAGTGCATGTCTACAGTTTCCATAGGAAATTCCTTGGGCTTCGCAGTGGGGGACATGTTTCCAAGATAAATTCTGAGGAAGATGACAAAATATCCGTCCATTACCCCAGGGTGCAGAATGTTGATTTTGCAGAGAGGACGTGAGTTAAGGACAAAGGGCTCAGATGACAGAGGGCAGGAGCTGCAGCAGCATACCATTCCCACCTCTATCAAGTGGTGGCTATTTACTCTCATTCAGTCAGCAAACATTGACTAGAATTTCTGTAATGCGCCAGGGACTGTTCTTGCCATAGGGTTATAGGGGAGTAAAACAGCCAACATTCTTCAAGGCCTATGGATGAAGAAAGCCTCTGTGGAAACTAACTGATCAGACTAGCACTGCCCAACAGAAATGTAAAGTAAGCCAAAAATATAATTTTATATAATTATAGAATTTTATGTAATAAAAATTTTCTTAGTCACTTGAAAAAAGTAAAAAGAAACATATGAAATAAATTGAAATAATGCATTTTATGTAGCTTAATATATCCAAAATATTGTCATTTCTGTATGTAACCAACGTGTTCCAGTAGAGGATGGAAACCTTTAAAGGGGCTTTGAAGTTCAAATCCAGTATCCCACCCCTAAACTTCCTGGCTCTGTGACCTCAGGCAAATCATACCACCTCTCTGAGCCTCTGTTTTCTTTTGTGGTAAATAGATATAATAACACTGTGATGGGTCAGTTTCCTGAGGGAAACAGACTTAGAGCTGGATATTTGCATGCAGGTTTACTGGGGAGAGTTCTAGGGCTCAGCCCTTGCTGGGGGACAAGGGAAGCAGGATCAGGCAGAGGGAGGAGTTGAACTGTTGTGACAGAGACCTCAGCCAATCCCAATGTCATCACTTAGCTGCAGCTGGCATGATTCTGCAGAGTTGTCCCATGTGGAGACAAGAGGGCTGGGCCAGACACTGGATGCAGGCTGCCCCCAGGGAAGAAACATGTGACCTTGTGCAAGACAGTTCTCTTCCACCAGGTGGGTGTAATTCCAGGGGATGAACTTGGCTGGGAGTTGTCAGACAGCAGCATTCCCAGGAGCTGGAGGAATGAGTATCTCATCTCTGAAGGAGAGATCTTGGCACACACTGTAGAATCCACAACCTTCTGGGGTTACTAGGAGGATTACATGACATAAAGTGCACCAAGTGATTGGCATAAGGCATGGCATATACTAGCCTCTTAATAAATGGTCAAGATGATATTGTTATGATTGTGATAATTATTATGATTATTCTGATTTCAAGAATATTTGTGAAGAAGCTAATGGATAAAAGGAGGCAACGAGTGACTTCCAAGAAGCCTTAAGGTCTGGGAAATTCCAAGGAAATAATAATCCTCAAAGAGTTCAATGGCCTCTGCAAAGCCTCAGCATCGTGGAGATGCTGACAGTAGATTTGCATCCTGAAAAAGCTGCCAAGTCTTGCAGAGGAACCGGCCTGCTTTTGAAGGAGAAAGGCAGAAAAAAGCAGAGGTTTTAACAAAGCTGTTTTGCATTTGAGCCATCCCGGGTTTAGAGTTCTCTGGAGCTAAGAACACTTCTGGAACCAGCCAGAATGTGCATTTTTGTTATCCTGGTGGCAGTTTTATTCTACATTCTCACCATGCTGGATGCTGCCTGGGACTTTATTTCCAGCTTGAACTCAGGAGCATGGGCCTTATGCTGAGAGCTTTGCATTTTACACAGGACATCTTTAGGCCCCCCATGCGGCAGGCTTGGCAAGCTTTGTCCCTCACACTTGGCCCAATAGAGGCAGCCTTTGATTTCTCCCTGGAAAAAGTGCTGAGCTAGCAGGACATGCCGCTGGAGCCTCAGGAGACACAAAGCCTATTAGAACCTCTAGGAGTTTGTTCCCAGAGTGGTGGCTTTTCTCCCTCTCCTGGGAGCTCTGAAGGGCCTGGTGTAGAGGATGTGCTTGTCATGGATGGGATAGGAGGGCTCACTGTGAGCTCCCTGAAGACAGCTTGCAGGTTTAGTTTGCCACTGTATCCCCAGAATTATCACAGGGCTTGGCACATAGGAGAAGCTCAGTGTATATTTATTTATTGGATAAACAAATGAATGAATAAATGATCAAATGAATGAATTCTTCCCTGGAAGATACTGGAAGGCCCAAACTCATCCTCCTGATTTTTGGGTCCCAGGAAGGCCAGGGAGTTGTCAAGCACAGAGATGTGACTGCCCCTTGAACCCTTGGGGGTTGCGTATATTATATCATCTCCCTTGTAAGAGTGTTCTACAGTGATGGAGAGGCGGAGGCCATATGCTTTCACGTACCAAATCTTTACCCAGGCCACTCCCTCTGCCTGGTCACCTTCCTTCCTTGTCGCTCCTCCTCACTCAGATCACCCCTGGTCTGAGTCATAGACTCTGTGAGGTATTGGTCATCCTTGGGGGGCTCAGTGCAGAATTGCCTCTTCAAGGGAGACCTCACCGGCTCCCCAGTTCTCCCACAGCCCCTGGGCCTGTATTTGCAATAGCACGTTTCACATGTGGGTGGTGTGTTAATTTCTGAAACACTATTCTTCTGTGGGCTCTTTGAGAAGGGACAGACTGGGATTGATTTCCGAGGTCTGCACCTACAGGGCACTGGAATGGAGCAGGGACTCCATAGTTTTTTTTTTTTTTTGGAAGGAAGAAATGATGAATAAAATTAGAATGGTCTCAGGAAATCCTCAACCTGGGAAGAGTCTTGGCAAGGCAGGTGGCATGGACATTCCCAGAGAGGTCAGAGACAAATCACTTAGACTACCACCCCAGAGAGTCTGGGGGCCATGGGGCAGGTGTCCATGGGTCATGTTTTTAGGAACTTAGCATCAGTATTACAAGCAATTTAGAAAAAGTCCTTCTCCCTTGCTCATACACTCTGAACTTGAAGAGTGAGTGGAAAGTGTTACTCATGTAGGATCAAACAGACTATCTTCCCAAATGTGTTGCATCTTATTCTATACAGCAAGAGGCAAAGATGATTCTTCCCCAGGAGAGCTGAGGGAGATTATGATAAACAGAGTTTGCTCCTGGAGGTGGGATGGTCAGGCAGAGAGAAAGAAGATACCAAGGAAGTGGAGGAGAGGGCGAGGTTCAGTGAGTTGCATAGCAGTTGTATAGTTTCTCCTAAACCTGGGGTAAGGGGGGCATTTACTGCTACTGCATGATTCCAATAGCATAGACACAGAGATGCAGACATGCTTATTTCATCCTGACTGCTCTCGAACCATGACTGCTCTCGGTTTCTGCTATTTGGTCTGAAATCTGAGAGTTGGGAGATTCTAGAATGTTCACATTAGAGATAACATTTCCACAGCCCAGCTTACAATGTATTTTTCCCCATGAATGTTCTCATTGGATACTCCCAATAAATCAGTGAGGTCTCACTATTTCCCCTCTCTCACCTCTGCCCTTTGACTGAAGAGAGAAAAATGAACTTTTTAAAAGAATTCATAGCCAGGATGTGGTACCAGCTCCTGTGATAGGCATCACTAACTGATCACGGCACTAGCCTGTTAAACTCAACCCCTTGCCTTGGCAGTCACTACTAATCAAATGGAGATAAAAGTGATCTGCCTTTTGCTGGACTAAGAAGACCATGTTGCTTCTCAGGGTATATCAAGTCCTACCCTATGCTGTTACCCACCCAGCATTCTGTCCCTCTTTCTCATTACCATTGGCTGCTGTTGTATGCATGACTCTGGGACCCCTTACCACTTCCATCACATTCTCATGTCCTTCCTTCTCCTTCTGTGG